TAGAGTGGAGTTTGATAACTATGGTTTACCTTTTTCCCCCTGCGAACTTTATCTATGGGACGTCCCTTATTTCCGGAGCTTTCCGAAGACGTTTGGGTCGGACTGGAGTCGTTATGTTAGTGTGTGTGGCGCCATATTTGTTTTTGGTGAGTTGCGTTATATTTCCGTGTTATTCTCGGTATTAATGACTTATTAACTTTCCCTGTAGTTTTAACTGAAGTTCACACACACTAGCCATAACACTAATTAACTGTCACTCTCACCAACTGATAGTGGGTTCTCAAGTATCAATAAACACCAGCTGGTATACATATACTAACATGTACTAGCTATCGTACCCTGGGTCTATTGACTTACAATACATACTCAGTTAGAACCTACTCTTAATCGCATGAAATCATTAAGTTCTAATTATTTCAATCGGTTACAGATGCACTGTAATGTTTTGGATTTCGGCTTTCCCTTGATGTATTTGTATGTCTGTCCACCGCGGGATTCCAAGTTCTAAGGTACAGTTTTGAATATTAAAATGACTCACCATTCCAATAAGTCACCGATGGTTTCAGTGGTTCTGACTACTATACCGTTAAAACAAATGTTATTGCAATACAAACGCACACAGTATCATGTTTTTACATTATCATAACATATTGTTATTCATACACCAGTGTGACACCATTCTCTTCCAATATTCTTGATATCTTATCATCAAACATTTCATTCTGTGCAACAGTGAAATGAGATTTCCAATCTCCAATTTTCCCCTTCCGGAAAAATGTCTCACCTGCCCACCAAGATGTCTCGTCTCTTGGCGGCATAAAATAATCGTCATCTCCAGCTTCTTTCATTAATTGAAAAGTACTCTTATTCAAAGCTCGGTTAAGTTGATCATCATCAATTGGGCGAGAAAGAAACTGAGATATTTGAGATGACACTGACTTTAGATCCGTTTTCATGTCTTCGTATGTCACGTGCAGTACACCATCCTCAATTCCAAAACGTCTCCACCCGATCACGTGATCCGCCCATGGTCCGAACATAACTTTCCGTTGACAAACTGTGTCACAAAATCATCCCAGCATGGTAGGTTCTGCCGGAATTTAGGTAATGAAACAGGGAAGTGCATACATCTTTCGGGTTTCTGGTAATATAAATGATTTTGCATCTAACACTGTTCTGCCTCCACGCTGAGTGAAAATATTCGACGGGCGCATGGCAATACATCAACCGGGGAGATGGCATTTCGTGCAAAGTCGTCTGTGTTGCTTTCACGTGAACTGCATAGCTTCCGGAAAGTGAATCTGCATCCTCATAGAAATAACATGGTCTGGTAGCTAGATTTGTGGGCTTAAGCTGCCAATGTAGATCAGGGTACATTTCAGATACAAGTCGTAGCATCCAAGTGGTTCCGGATTTGGGGAACGTGTTGATGATGATGTCATCGTCTCGAATATCCCATAAATCAATTCGCCTTGCCTTCAATGCACCAATGTCATGTAACCCATCAATAAAACTGACCCCTTCATTTTTGAATATAGCCATAGGATCCGACATTTCTAAAAAAAAACAAAAAAAAAACGTGTATATATAAAAATGAAGGGTTACACACAGACAGGTTTCTTTTAGAGTAAAAGGTATAAAGGTCAGATCCTGAGCGATGCGACGTCGTTCCAACAAGTTCACTATTATATACTATTATAAGCAGCGCTTTGTGCCTGGAAATGTGATCGTGATCTCTGTATTTCCATTATAGCAGGAGTAAATATCAAAAGATTGACTATTCTAGAATTATGGTTGGCAATAATACGCCATTTATCGTGATTAGTTTGCATACGAATGACTGCAGTTGCTCCCAGTAATGATTGATAGGTCTATGCAAACAGGTTGAACTTTTTGATCTCTTTAAATGATATACGACACAAGTAAGGCATGGCCTCAATTGTTTATTTGATACTTGTACTGAAACTTACAAGACAGCGGAACAGTGTTTCATTTCATGGGCGAAGCTACCATGTTTGGTTCATTTGACGGATACAGCGTGTGCTGGGTACAATAATCTAACAGAGGTCAATCCAAAGTAAACGTATATCAAGTATCGAAGCAATTGGAGTAGCGTTTTTTAAGAAGAGTTCAACAATAACATTTTTGACCAAAAACTGGCAAAAATATCCACCTAAATTAGAGAATTTAAAATATCGTCGAAATGGACCAAAATGGAACACCGAAAGCAACTACACATCACTTATCAAGGCAATTAAGCTTACGACTCTGTTAGCCTCGCTCAACTGATTCGTGATTGATTCTTACACTAGATACCAGCCGATACCCCTCCCCCAACTCCCACACGGAGACTAGGCGTACAGTTGATTATAGTTCCAGGGCACACTGTGATATGATAAGCTCCGCTCTGTCACTTACGATGACAGTGGAGCTAAATATTGGTTAAACAGTTTTTAATAATTATATAGAAGTCAACGATCACAATGTTTTGAAGTGATAAGCCACAAATTAAAAAATGCCGAAAAAACGACAAAAACAAACCAACGTAATGTTTCAGTGTTACTTTATTGCATTGAGCAATGAGCATGATTCACATATATAAGATTAAAAGATTCCCCTCATTAGTAAATAGCGCCCCTACTCAACAATATTTAGAATGAGTGGCTGGTCAAAAGTTTGATGAGTTAGGTGCATCTATTGGCTAAGCTTGTTGTACATAGATGCAAATGAGTATAGGAACCATTAATGCTGTAGGGTGTACTGGGAGGGGTGGAGGATTTCATATTTGTAATGACTGGTTGTAATGTGGTATCTCGTTGTTTTCAAGATGCAGCCTGATATTTGTTGCTTTCTTGGTTGTTCAATTGTGGCTAAAATTTGTGTGGTGGGTGGAAGATGTGTTTATTGTTTGTTGAGTCATTATTTAGACACCCTGCAGCTTGAAATGGTATGGTCCAAATCCAAATTCGATATGGCGGTGTTGAATATCTGTGCGATATGGCAGTGTCGTCTAAAAACATGGCATCAACATGATTTCTGTTTATTTATTTACTGTTGTAGATCCTGAAAACTAGCCATTGAATATGATGTCGGGAATAAATGGTTTTCTGAACAAGCTTTATTAATTATTGCTGGCAATATTCCAGTATGAAATGGGAGCAAACGGTGACACCAAATCCAGTCGTTGTACTGTTATGCTTCTAAATTTTTTTTTAAATAAAATAAATTAAATAGAAATATTATGTGTATTTTTGTATGTGGAAACATGGCTGGCCCACTCAAAAATATAAAGAAGTGAGGTCTGCAGTTCTTTTTTTTTTAAATTTTTTTATTTGTGAAAAAAATGGTATTTTACAGAGTGTAAACAATAAAACACTCACAGTGCAAGGCTAGTTCACCAACATGTCTATTCTCTTGCTTGAGTGTGAAAGTACATGGTTTAGTGACTACCTCTTATATTTTTAAATTTTAGAATTTCTTTTATTTGGAAAGGTTCTTCTATAAAAATAGAACATATAAACTCGAAACATTATTTATATATATATATATATATATATATATATATATATATATATATATATATATATATATATAAATAATGTTTCGAGTCACTTTAGCAGTAGTTTTGCATGGCGCCATCTTGAATCAACTTGCGCATGAAATAATAACTACGCCCACAGTTAGGCGCTTCAAGGTCAGTTCTGTGTTTAGTGGATCAATAAACTGCTCGGTATAGCCTGCTACATATGGTTTGGGAATTCTTTTTTCTGAATTCTTCAAGGGAAATGACGAACAATGTGTATCCGAGTGACTTACTTGTTTCCTATGCGTCGGGGGAATGTCAGAGCCGACTCCCTGCTAGGTGTGAGACTATATGCACTGAGTTTGTAGCTAGGTGTGTGAAGATACAGATATAGGTACGGAGACATGCGTAAAAGCACGAATAGATCAGATCAAGTAGTCCCTTGACAGTCGATGCACTATGCACTGTCTACGCATACAGACCTAACTGAGAAGCTAACAACTGCAGTTCATATCTGATTCAAAAGATTTCACTGACTGTTCTATCTCAGCAATCAATTACAAAAGGTTTTCTCTATTCACCATTGGTTGTCATGGTACAACAAGTACGTCATTGCTCTAATATAGATATAGTAAGGGGGACAACTATTTGAAATAATGGGGTTGCTGAAAGAGTGTGCCAGTGCAATTATGTTTTGTCTTATTTGTACATTTATATTACAATAGCCGATTGTACCACTACCCAAGCGTAAAATGATAAACAAAGTGCTTACAAAGTTGTGAAAAGCTAATGCAAAGTTGTCAGAATTACATGGAAATGTTACCTATGGTGTTGTTACTTTATTAGGACCTATTGTTTAAAGTTCGGAAAAGTGAATAAATACCTCGTGAAAGGCCGTTTGAATGTCGTAGTGGCTCTCGAAGGATGAAGAATTTCCAAACCCTAAATAGCCGCCAACTTGAATAAATTTTAAAGAACTCTGATAGCTGAGTAATCAGGTGATTCGCCGATCACAAAAATTAAGCTCAGTCGGTCTTGGTTTGTACTTGCATGATAGAAAACCTGAGAAAACCGCGGTGTTTTTTTTGGGGGAGGGGGTTGCCACACACATTGAAAATACAATAAATCAATTTTTGTGTAATATTTGCTACTCTGATGTCGAACATTTATTGTAGAAAGTCGTGGAAATTGTTAGAAATTTTCAAGTTCATACAAAGTTTTAAAATTTGCTCGTATTTTCAATGAAAAAAACAGTTTTTATAGTCAGCAGTTAATTGCTCTAAGCTGTTAAAACAGTGTGCATAATTGTGCAAAGCGAATGAAAAGTTGGTAAATTGTTGTGTTTATTTGACCTAAGTTGTCGGTACATATAACCCTGTAGTTATAAAGCTTGAACAATAAATGTAATCCATTTGAAGCCTCCTGTGTTAGTAGA